TTTCCGGTCCATCTATAGTCTACTAGTTGAAAGTGCTTGAACTATTAGAAGTTAACTAGTGTTTGGAATCTCATGTAACAGTGCTACAAAGCTTCCTACACAATGCTTCTGTTTTAGCCCTTTACCATCCTATTTTCCTAGATGCTTATCTAAAATAGGGGCATGTAAGTCTTCTTTATGGATTTCATTGATTTCACTGTCTCCTTTTTGTGAACTTCTCTATGATGCAAAAATTCAAACTATCTTGAAGGATTGTCTGTTATTTTTAGCTCTTTTTGATATATTTGTAAATGAAGGTCTGAAGAATTCTTATCATAAGGTTTCAGGTTATAAGTCAAATTGATGTCTAATTACAGTCTCGTTTAATTTATGGTGTTATTGGTGATAACTACTGATGTAAAAGAAGAGATATATGTGCACCTCGAGAAGAAGTTTCAGGTTCATTGCAATGATTGCACTCTTAGAAACACAGCGGATTTCGAAGTTGAATTCCTTGAGGAGTTTAGGTTGGTCACTTTCTTGTACTTTGCATCTAGGCGGTACCAGAAGTAAGTTCATTCAAATCTAGATGTGATTGTATAATACTGTTGTCATGTGTCTGATCCTGCCTACCAGTTCAAAAACTTAGTGTTCTAGCTGTTGAAGGCTTTTTTAGGCTGTTAGGCTTCCTAGTTGATGCTGCTTTATTCCCACAAGGACATCTTTCTTCATACAAGGCTATTGTCTGGTTCTGGTCATTTGCCCATATATAAATTTCCCAGCCAAACTGTTTGCTCTGTTCTGCTAGAAACTTCTACTTTGGTTGCTATTGATAATTGGCTCTATTGACTGATAATTGGTTCATCAGTGTTGCATTCTAAACTTTGATTATATTTAAAATTGACTTGAAAAAGTCCTTAAACATGCTATCACATGTTAATTAATATTACGTTTTGCTCATCAAAGTGCGCTAAATCATGCCTTTTAAATAGTTTGCTCATTTGACAAATGAGCAACTAAGTTTTTGCTCATTTTTTAAATTAGCAACTAATTATTTGCTCATTTGACAAATGACCAACTAATTATTTGCTCATTTGTTAATTGCTCATTTGTCAAATGAGCAAATAATTAGTTGCTCATTCGTCAAATGAGCAATTAATTTTTTTGTTCATTTGTCAAATGAGCAAAAAAATTCAATGCTCCTTTGTCAAATGAGCAAACTATTTAATGCTCATTTTTCAAATGAGCAAATGATTCTTGCTCATTTTGTCAAATTAATGCTCATTTGTGAGTGTGTTTGAATGTTTTAAATACGTTAGCCTACTTGCTCAAGCATAGAGCATTGTGCAAATGCACAAAAGATGTGGGTTCAAATCCCACGTAGGTTCATTTATGTAATGTGGAGACACAAGTTTGTATGAGAGTTTAATTGTAACAAAGTTTATATAATTATAAATCATTTCAGACCATTTTTTTGCTCATATAATTAGTACAAATTTGATTTTTTTTTAATTAATTTTGTTCAAAAAGATAACCTATGTAGGAATTGGACCTACATCCCCTATGCATTTGCATAGTGCTCTACCAATTGAGCTAATAGGTTTTATAATCAATTTAACCAGAGAAGTTATTGAATTCTATCAGAACAGCAATGGTAGGAAACACAATCAAAACACCAATAATACTTGGACATATGGACCTGTGGACTATTTAGTGGTCCTATGGACCTGCAGGAGTCTTGCTATGCATAAATGAAATGTTCCAGAAAACCTGTACAAGAAGGGCTCTTCCCTAATCATGATCACTACTGACATACACCTATTGATTGCACGTACATTATTCAAGCCCTAAGGTATATTATCATTAGACAATAAGACGGAGCATACCTGTGTATTTGGTGGCAAAAATGGCAGTTCAGACTTGCCATAATACAACATTTAGATGCAAATATTATGGTGAGTTGAGTACTTGAGCTAGTGCATATGAACGTCCTCTCGATCCTCATAATAAAGCCTGCAATTTGTTATAAGGAATTGGAAATATGTAGGAAGTTTGCTATTCTCATTTGACAAGCAGTAACATAAGAAAATCAAAATCTAAGCAAATGACTTACAATCTTACATTCCAAGGTTGTTTTGCAAACAAGCAACAACAATATAGATTTTGTGATTTTCAAACCAAATCAGTATCCTTGTGATTTTTCTTGGTAACAAGAAAGATTAAATACAAAGCCTTGGTATAAACTATATTTGATGCACATTACAACATTATTTGAATTTTAAAAACAAACAATAGAGATTGTTTATGTCGTATGATGTAGACATGTGTTATACAAAGAGGAAAAAGATGCAAGATTTCACCCTTAAAAATGGAACTGCTCTAGGAAAATTGTTGTTCCCTTCTCCAGATTCTCCAAAGATTGAGAGCATAGACTGGAACCGTATAGGAATGGAATCATTGAGGGAAACTGCTAGCAGGAAAGTTACGCAGTGGGTTTTCCTTAAGTAATTCAGTTTCTCTGCGAGATAGTATTTCTGTTATAATTTGGAATGCCAAGGCAATAACACTTCAATAGCAGTTTGGGAAAACATACCTTTTGAGGGTTAACTTCTTCCTTGTCCTTCAATTGGGAATTTGTAATGCTTTGAGAATCACCAGTTTATTACAATCTGTACGAGATAGTGAAAAATAAATCGCCAGCCTATCAGGGAGTTACAGGTTTCTTATGCAACCAGCATACTGTAAATTAAAGAACTAAGAATTGCAAGTTTCTCATGTTACAATTTAAAAATGATGTATTTGATCATGTTACAATTCTTTTTAGAACTTATTCAATAAAATTTATACAACTTACATTCACTTTACTAAAATGCATAATCAATACTTACTCTGAACATTCCTCATCAACAAACACCTCAATGGTAGAAGTGGCAACTCTTCCAAGTCTACTGCCAGGCCTCTGCATAACCTGTACATGGTAGATTGTTAGATCTTGCTACTGCATCTATCCAGTGTAACAACCAATCTAAGAGCCAACATATCTGCCCTTGACTGTGAGCTGCAAACACATATTTATAAGTATAGATTAAGATGTCTAGTAATGGAATGCATTCAAAATAGAACAAATTAAATGCATGCAAGCTATGCATCATTTTTGCCGTATCAGGAAGAAGATATTGACAATTAACAAACATCATTGATGGAAATTTCTTATTCTTAAGAGCAGTAGTTTGTTATTAGCTCATGCCAATGTGCCATACATTATCACGGAATCCTTCAAAATAAGTACGTAACCTATGACGTAACTCACATATACTTGTAAAATTTTCCAGATGCTAGCAGTATTATAGTATACTTGCACAGCCTGTAGTCTTTCTATAAAAACTCACAATTCACAACTCTCTGTAGATCAAATTTTTGGTTTTCGGTCCAAATAGGACGTCGGGAACGATTTTCCACAACATTCTAACCTAGGTAGTACCATCTCATAACCTTCACCATTGAAATGCCTTCAATTATTCTCATAACCTTCACCACTGAAATGCCTTCAATCATCAACTAAAATACCAATATTTAACTTTAAAAACTAGTCCTATCAATTACAGCATAATACGAGTCATTCATCCAATAATCAGAAACATGATTAAACAACAAATATTCGAAATCATCTGCAGCAATTATCAAACCGCATGTACTCTAATTTATCTCAGGTGAAATTTGTCGTAGCAACAACAACAAAAAAACAAATTCCAGATAGAAATTGATCATCTAAATTTGAAAATAAAAGCGATAATTAATAAACAAAATACAATGAAATCAACAGGCAAAAAAATTAAATCAAACAACAATCTCGGGAAATTCGCCAGTCAAATTACTAACCTACTGGCGTCGGCAACAGGAGCAATGCCGGAAACAGTACGGTTGAAGAGGACAGCGAGGAGAGAGAAACCGCCGACATAAATAGGCAAGCTATGAGCGACATTGTCATTGACCGAGACCCTGTCAGCGACCAAATTTGTGGTTGATTTCGGCCCATTATAGCCTTCCGACTATACAATAAGCTCCAATGTTGTAAGTATAAAGCTTGCAGAAAAAGCTTGAGGTCAAAAAATGGCGGAAATAGAGAGGAGGGAGAAAGGAAGTACCTGGAAAGAGTTGGAAATGGAGAAGCGCGGGAAAGTTAGAGAAGATGAACGGTGGTATCGGAGAGGTCGTTTAGGATTGAAACAAATGGAATGGATATGGAGGTCGTTTGATGTGAGTCGTTGATGACGTTTGATCCTAAAGCCTAGATTTGTTCTCATATATTAGTAGTGTTCTTACATAAGGACCTGTTCTCACGGGATCCCATATATATATATGTATACACACACGTATATGTGTGTAATATATATATATATATATATATATATATATATATATATATATATATATATATATATATATATATATATATATATATATATATATATATATATATATATATATATATTACACATATATATATATATGTGTGTGTGTGTGAGAACACATACTTATATGATAACTGATCTAAAATTTAGAACATGTGACTCAAATTAAAATTTAGAACATCTGTTTGAGTAATAATTTAGAAAATCTGATTTAAGAATTAGAACATGTGAGTAAAAATTTAGAAAATTTCTTTGATGAAATTTAGAACATATGAGTAAAATTTAGAAATTTTAATTTAAGATTTAGAGCATGAATAAAAATTTAGAACACCAAGTATAAAATATATAAAATGTGAGTAAAAATTTAGAACATATGAGTAAAAATTAGAACATATACTTTAAATTTTAGAGCATATAATTTAAAATCTTAGAACACATGTTTTAAAATTTAGAACATATAAGTTAAAATTTTGGAACAAGTTATTTAAAATTTATAACATCTAACTTAACTTATTTATGGTTTAGAACATGTGAGTACTAATTCAGAGCATCTGACTTAATTTAGAACACTTGAGTAAATATTTAGAACATTAGATTTAAAATTTAGAA